AGCACCCGCGATGACGACAAGTACAGGCTGGACCTTCTGGGGCAGGCGGGCGTTGACGTGGTGGTGTTGGTGAGTCTTTTTACCGTGCTTTTAAGGGGCCGGGGGGGACACTGTTGCACTTTAAATCTAAATAATTTTTTTTTTTTCTCTTCAGGACTCATCACAAGGCAACTCAGTGTTTCAGATCAACATGATCAACTACATCAAGCAGAAATATCCAGAATTGCAAGTGGTGGGAGGAAACGGTACATCCATGGAGCTTTAAAAAAAATAAAAATCTTTTCTTTCCATTTCTTAAGTGGCAGTAGGTAGATTTAGTTGGTTCAGCCTTTAATAGATAATTAAATTTCTGTCAAACCAATATCTAATACGCAATTGTGTAGTGTACTAAAAATACACAAAATGTTGTCAAATATTGTGATTATTATTCGTCTTATTGGCTTGTTTAACATTCTGGCCAATTTTTAGCCTTTTAAAAATAAATACTCTTGTGGCCTTTGATTTCCCACCCCTCGCTTTAATCGACCCATTTCCTTCCCAGTGGTGACAGCGGCGCAAGCCAAGAATCTGATCGATGCTGGCGTGGACGCGCTGCGGGTGGGCATGGGCTGCGGCTCCATCTGCATAACACAGGAAGGTATTCATACAGCTTTGGTTCTCTATGTACCTTCTCATGGTTGCCCGTGGTAACCGCAGCCCAGAGACTCCTCTTGGTCATGCCGGTTATCTTCCTGTTCTGGGTTGCCACGGCGACATCTCCCGCAATTATTAGCGTCTTGTCTTGCGATTCACTGCGTTGTTGGCGTTTGCAGTTATGGCGTGCGGGCGGCCTCAAGGGACCTCTGTGTACAAGGTGGCAGAATATGCCCGGCGCTTTGGCGTGCCCGTCATCGCTGACGGTGGCATCCAGACGGTGGGACATGTTGTCAAGGCACTCTCACTGGGAGCATCCACCGGTAAGAATGCCCCCCCCCCTGCAAAAAAAATAAGTATTCTTGTGCCACCACATAATGTTGGACAAAATAGAAGCAGTCAAGTCAAAGAGACCTAGCATAGCATGCAGGTTTTCAACCTGAATTTCTTATCTCAATAATGACCCGTCTTTTCCCGCCGCAGTCATGATGGGCTCCCTGCTGGCAGCGACCACTGAGGCTCCTGGCGAGTACTTCTTCTCGGACGGCGTCCGGCTCAAAAAGTACCGTGGCATGGGTTCCCTCGATGCCATGGAGAAGAGCACCAGCAGCCAGAAACGTTACTTCAGGTGGGCTCAAGCCACGTTGTATTGCATGACATTACATTACAGTCCAATTGTAAGGTGGAGAAGTCATGGGTGTTTTTTTTTTTTCTTTAACTGACATAACAGTGAGGGAGACGCAGTGAAGGTGGCACAGGGCGTGTCAGGCTCGGTGCAAGACAAGGGTTCCATCCACAAGTTTGTACCGTACCTCATAGCCGGTATCCAACATGGCTGCCAAGACATCGGGGCCAAGAGTCTCTCAGTGCTTCGGTGAGGAAAGGGTCAAATTCTTCCTCTACTTTCGAGTTCAACAGCAGCATGTAAACGCCTATTTGCTGTGTTGTCAAGCTCCATGATGTACTCTGGCGAGCTCAAGTTTGAGAAGAGAACCATGTCGGCACAAGTGGAAGGTGGCGTTCATGGACTTCACTCGTAAGTAGCATGTTTTTCCCAACGTTATACGCCCCGAGTACGCTTGACGCTTTAAACCATTGAAACCATAAAGCTGAGCACCTGATCATAAAATCTCGCAGACTAAAATCATTCTCATTTTAAGTGAACAAATATTTATTTTATTTAAATAATTTCTGGACAGCTCAGGGACAGCACCAAATCACCCAAGCATAGTTGAGAATAATGGTGTGAAGCTCATGACCGGTATGTGGCCATGAACAGTCCGGAAATCATTTTTATGACTGTAGGAAACGAGATTCTAGGGTTGGGCAATAATTCAATATCAAAATACAGTTGTGCTTATAAGTTTACATACTCTAGTGGTTTGTAAATTGATGAGCACAACCGTATGTCTGACAACTATTGGTGAATGGTGGTACACACATTTGTGCTTATAACGCCATAAGTATTGAAACATTGCCACTCATTGTCCATCTATGGATAAATTAGGACATTTTTTTGGGGGGGGGTCAAATAATAACCACAGTGGTCACGTGATACTTTGTCATTTCCAGGGTGAAATAAAAAATGAACTTGTACTCAAAAATGTGATGTCGGGCTTCGCAGCATGGCTTCAAGCGGGGCTGCTAACACAAGTAGTGGAAGACTATTCACCTTTTCAGCATGCTCGCTAATAGCAACTCTCGAGAGCTTTGACAAAATGGTCTTTTAACCGTGCCGAGTCTTGCATGCGCTTGAGTGAATTTTAATGCAGCAGCTCACCATTGAAACAAAATGGCTATCAGAGTTGATATGGCACGTCGGGCACTAATTGTGTTTCCTTGCGTCTCACCTCGACAGTTACGAGAAGCGTCTTTACTGAGCTGAGGATGGGCCACCATACCACCTTATTAAAAAACAAAAAAAGAAAAGAGAAAAAAAAACAAAACCAAGTGACCAAACGCTTTTAAATGACGATAGACCTCCCACCCCTTCCACCGTGATGTCCACCTGTAGCTCCTCTCCACATCCGACTTTCCACCAACATCAAGTGCGGGAATAGCGGGAGGGGTGCTTTGCGCACGAGACAAATCAGGGTTTCCAGATGTTCCACGGCGACACGTCTGACTCTCGCATTGTGCCACTACGTTTGTGGTCGTGTTTATTTTAACGGGGGTGAGTTCTCTTGTTTACTTTGCACCCTCGGGCGCCGCCCCCACTCATTCATGAGCCCAAATATCACGCAGCGGGACCAAAAAAACAAAACAAAACAAAACTGAATATAATCAGGTATGTTTCCACGAGTGAGTTTATGTAAAAGCTGTACAGTCTCTTCTGGGCTTTGGGATGGAGCAATGAAGGGTTTTTGATATGCATGTTCTTTTTCCACAAGCCCAGCGCGGTTGTATTTTTATTCCACTTTGTTGTAACGGTATACGTACTGCCAAGTGTATTTATACGTGCTCCTTTGGAACGTCAAAAACCAAACCGAGTGAAAACAACCCACCAGCCTGTTACCTTGTGTTCTGCTTGTTGCCGCGTTTTTCTAAGACTTTTGTTGTTGTTGTTGTTACCAGAAAAATGCCTTGTAAGGTGCACAGGACCCTGTTACCAAACAACTCGCTGCGCTTCTAATCGCTGTCTTGTATTACGTCAAGTATTCGATGTGGCCTTATATGCTAAGGCCTCACAGTTTACTTTGCCCAGCATTGGGTTGGCTTGACGAGCAAAGTCTTGTAATCTAAAAAAAATATACATGATGATATACGCTTCAAGATGCCCATATTACAGACCTTAGAACATACTTGTTGTGGTTCTTTTTTTTTTTTTTATCCTGAATGGAGAAGACTAGGTTTTTGAGTATTTTAATTATTTTTTGGTGGGCCGGGGGGCGGCCACCTGTTTACCTTTTAAAAAGCACTGCTGAGGGGAAGCTGCTTTACCATTCAATTTGGTGAAACGAATAAAGAAATGAAGCTGTTGTCGTCTGCTGTCTTTTTGGGGAAACCAAACCACAAAGCGTCATTTGTTTACAAATACACTTTATTAAACTGTGTACATTTCATATGTGTGTATAAATTAGTAAGCACAGGGTATCCGTTCATGTTGAAAATCTTCAGGGACTGGCCAGCAGAGGACGCCACTTGCTCATTTGTATCCTCAGCAGGTTGTGCTCCAGCGGAGTTGAACTTCAGTCGTATTTTATAAGCGCAAAGTAATACATAAATGCAAAAACATGACTTGCTGTACAGTATCTATCATCGGATTAGATATTTGTTATTTCGGCTATTCTTTACAAACAGGTATATTTACTTACTAGGCAGAAAAAAAGTGTAAAACTTAAAAGCTACCCGTTGTTTTTGGCACTTCAAACCCGCGTAGACGTTCACCGATGACCATTTAAGGAAGCTCCACCCGAATGTGTTATTTGGCAGTGTTATTTTACCATGCGCTTGTAAAGCTGTCAAAATTAACCCTTGAAATTCCCTTCTCATGAAGTCCTCTCATCAAGTCTTTGTCCATTACAAATCGATGGTTTCGCTGCAGATGCTGACCGCATCGATTTGTCTGCAAACGCTCATAAACTCCTCCTGGACAGATCGGTCGGCCTCTGACGACATATCCAAGTCCAGGCTCTCTTGCGAGTTGCCGCCTAGCGTTTGGTACTGCCTCTGCGGGTCGCTCTGTTGTTGAGCTTGTGCTTCCGGACTCGGGCAGATGACTAGTGATGAGTCCCCGATGGACGCTTGATACTGAGAGCTGGACGAGGAGCTCCCCCTCCAGCGCTCGGGAGACGAGCAGCTGGAAGAGGACAGGGATGGAGATGGAGGACCCCCGACGATGATCTCACCTGCTTTCAAAGTAATGTCTGCACAAGAAGAGGTCCGGTAAAGGCCGGGATCATCCGTGCGGGGGTCACAGAGGCTGGGAATTGCACAGTGGTTGTTTATTATTAAGTCCCTGCTCTCCGTGGGTGTGGTTGTATTGAAGAGACTCATGGGGAAAAGAGCCTCGCTGAAGAGCGCCTCGTCGATACTGCGACGTAGGTTGATGGGCGACGGCGGCCTGAGGTCCGTCGTGGAGTCGCTTGCAAATGAAGATCCACCTGATGGCTGCCCACATCCTCCATTTCCAAGTTTCTGTGAGTCCTTCATGTCTAAATCTACTTCAAGATCTCGATAGGCCAGAGCCCGGTTGCTGTGGTACAGGAAGTCCAGCCCGTTTAGACTGCTAGACAGCCTATCCTCCATGAGGGTGTAGAGCGGAAGGCTCTCTGTTTCACCGAGGCCCGCCCTATCCACAATAGCGAGCTTCTCATGCTGCCCTAAGCTCCACTGGCAGTTCCCCGGTAGGATGGGTGCCTTCGATGCCAGCAGTTCAGTCCAACAGCTTCCGGCGGACGGTAGCTGGTTGGAGCAGTAGACCGGCTGTGCCACGACCAGCACCAAGGTGAGGCAAACACCCAGTTCGCACAGTCTGCAGCTGAATTGAAAAGCCCACCAGCACCACGGGCGGAAGACCTCCTCTCCCCCGGTGACACCCGCGGCATTGAGCATCGCGTACAGCTGCAGCCCGGCGCAGGCTAAACAAAACAGCGCGGAAAGGCAAACCGTTACAGCTGCGCGGTCCCAGTCGCGGCTCTCTGCAAAGGGGCAGCGGTTAAATCGCTCGGCCGGTGTCGGGGAAGTGTTGTTCAGATGGTAGATGTGCTTGGAGTCTGCTCGCACGTAGACGTAGAACACAAAATAAGCAGTGGACAGGAAGGTGGCAAGGGCTACAAATGCTCCACGGGAGATGAGCGACAGGAACAGGCAAAGCGGAGGTTTCCGCTGGTAGAACTTGAGCAGGGTCCCCGGACCGAAGGTGGCGGCGAAGTGCAAGGTGACCAAACAAGCCAAGAAACAGGGTCTTTGGAAGGCCGAGTAGGAGAGCTGCATCCTTGAGCGCATGGAAAGCAGAAGGAAAACTAAGCCGAACGCCGCCGTTAGGCAAGGGAACGGTGCCTCATAGAGCATCAACGAGGCCTCGGCGGAGGGCAAGCGTTCCTGGTGGCCGTATGCGTCGTACAGGAGCGAGAAAGATCTGGTACCCCCGGCGGCCAGCAGGAACAGGCTGACCAGAGCAAAATAGCCACAGCCAGATGGACAGCGCAGAGGCAAGCAGAGAAGGTTGAGTGCACAGGCTAGCGTTAGCATCGCAAAGACACAACCGGCGCCATACACGTGCGCCTCCCAGGCCAGGCCCCAGGCGGCCATGGCGCTGTTCCAGTCTGTGTATAAAGGAACCAACATGAGTGGAGATGAGAACGCTGAAGGCCCGCTGGACTGGTTTGTGCCTGTGATGTTTTGCTGCGGCTTCATGTCCGATGACAAGTCGCCTGAGAAGTTGCAGGCCCCGGTGGGCCCTTTATTGCAGTCTGGTAGCAACGTGTCGGTGCCACTCGTCAGGTCTGACGTCCGGTTCTCTGTTTGAAGGTTTTGTGAACTTTCAGCTGTAGTCACTAAAACAAATCAAACGAGCACAAATTTGTTTTTTTTTTTTTACTTCCGGATTTGAGCATCCCTGCCATATATCATAACCATTCCCGCCCATTCCACCTCAGTAAGAAACATATTGAGAACCGGTAGTCTGAGGTAGAAAGAGGGAGAGATTTGATGCCGTTATGCGTATACGGGCTCATCCGTCATTTTGCTGCAGGCTTATCGCAAACAATCAACAACCAGGCTCCCTTAATGGACCCCAGACCTCGAGAATAATAACCCGGCAATGCAGGCAAGCTCACTGCGGGCTTGTTTTGTTTTGTTTTGCAGGAAATGTGTACATTAAAATAGATCTAAAAGACTGGAGCATAGATAGGCCCACTTATTATTTCCTATGACAGATCTCATGACGCTTCGCACCTTTTTATCGGTTATTTTCTGGTCCCTTTGTGTATGTTCCCATGGGCTGCCGCCTTCAAATGGGACACTCCCTGAGGTGGGCTCGGCATTTTGTTTTAACTGGGACAAGTCTTCTGCCCATCATGTTTAAACTGTGCTTGCCTGCCCCCAGGCGCAAACAAATCTGCTTTTACTGTCCTCCAATGACGGAGCTTTTTCACAAGCAGTCAGCTTGTTGCCTTTTCGCCCCATTAAAGACTTTGTATTATTTCAGCGGGGTTGTAATGCAAACGTCAAGATGGAGGAAATACGACAGCCCTAGCTGGGAACGTGGTGCAGCAGTCGAACTTGATTAGTCTGTTGTCGGAGCTTGGGTGCATCTTTCAACAGTTTTTGCCCGATTAAAAACATGTTTTGGTTGTCAGTAGTGCTGTGATGACATCATCAAATGGGGGGAAGTGCCACCAGAGGGAAAAACAAACCTCGATAAAAGAGGTGTGGCTCAGAAAAGTGTCGGTCTGTGTATTTGCTTTCCAGGGCGATCGGGATGCCACCCTTAGGGAGGGATGGATGGAAAACGTGACTGTCCTTTGCACTCACGTCAGTGTGCGTCTGAGCTGATGGTCTGGACTGAGATTGGTGGACCACAGCGCAATGATAAATGGCAGAATTTAAGGTCTGCGCGCCGCTAGGTCACGTGACACATTCCTGTGGGAGCATGTCGGTCACATCTGCAGTGCGTGGTCTAAAAAAACAAAAAAAAAAACAAAGACGGACTGCCATATCCCCTTTTGGGGTTTGAATCCCAAATTCACCTGCTGATGCCTGTCGGGGCAAGTAGGCCATCTATACTTATTGTGTCCCAATGAAGGTTTAGTCTGGAGAAGAGTCACCTTCACACATTGAACTTGTCAACCAGATTGGTTTCTCTAAAACAAGTGGCACATTTAACATCTATTTCTGGAGAAGAAGTCGCTTTTGCTATTCTGGAGCGAGCAGAAGAAGAAGTGGGTTACAGCTGTTCCCGCGAAGTGGGACACACATTTCACCAGAGCTCAATTTACGTCGTGAGTTGTACATGTCGCATCCCGTGAGGGGAAATAGCAAGGCAATAATGGCAGCGGCACTTTAATGCGACGGTGCTTTCTCAATTGTTATATTGTTGATGCTGTTCGATGAAACGTAACTTTCACCGAGCACCTTAATCATCGGATCGGACCTCCCTCCAAGTACCAGATTGGACTCATGCAGTTTAAGGGATGGGGAGGGAGCATAACTCTTAGCTCACCCGTTTCTCCTGGCAGAGACGTAGGCGGCGGCGATGAAACATCCGTCGTATAACCATCCGGGGCTGCGCCTTCCTCATCTGCCTGATCCGCTTTTGCTGTGAAGAAACGAGCCGTTTTAAGCTCCGGTTGGCTTCCGAGTGAAATGACACACGCACAAAATAATAGTTGGCCACACTACGCTGCACTTGGAAGTGGAAGGACTCTGTATCTTAACCTAGTTCTGTCAAATGGGTCAGCCTGGCCTCCACTTTTATGCAGCCAGTCATCCATGGCACTTGTGTGGTGCGGATCTCCGCCGCCCAGTCGCATTGATATTTCCGCGCCCGTGTGCCTTGGTTTCACCATTTTTGATAATCTAGAAACAATTATTCATTATTAGCATTCTTTTGTTGTTTTAGTGGCTCAGAGGCATCCAGTCATGTCACGCGGTGATATGGGGTTGAAAGCTCCAACTTCTTGTCTTGACCAAGATGTCAAAACGACAGCATTGGGCACATCCGGCTATGCTGTTTGTTTTAACGACGCGACTGCAACGCTTGTCCGATTAGCATCCTGCGTCATTTAAAGCACCGTTCTGTCACT